TATATATATGTAAGCCTCCAGGTGGGGCCTGGAGATCTCCCGGAATCACGACCAATCTCCGGACAACAGAGATCAATTCCCATGGAGAAAATAGCTGAGGTCTCTCCCCTCTCTAAACCCCGCACCAACCAGACTCCACCCCCCCAAAAAAAAATCTCCAGGAGTTTGCCAACCTGGATCTGGCAATTCTAACGATGTCTCATTCTTGTAAGCTTTGGGAGAAGTTTTATGGGGAAACGTTGATTAGCCATGGCAGACCATCAGAATGGTAGAACCTCAAGTGCATCAGAAAGTGCTGACACTTCTGAACTCCCTGTGCCTAAAGCTCCCGGGCAGGGGTCATTTCCTGCAGGAGCGCACAGGAGCGGAGCTCCGGCAGTAAAGAGCCCAGGGGGTCGGGCACATGCAAGAAGCCCCGCCCCCTGCTCCCAGCAGCCCCGGGCCATGAGGAGCAAGAAGCAGCCAGGTAAGTTGCAGTGGGTTTTGCTTTCTGACACACTTCTGGTGATGTCAGGGGGTGTGGCATATGCAAATAAGTTATGCTAATGAGCTATGCTAATGAGCTCCTGCACCTCTTTTTCTACGAAATGGCCCCTGCTCCCGGGGAAAGATTCCAGGACCATCTCTTAGATCTTGTCCCCCCCATCTCCCAAACCCTGCCCCTCTCTTGGGATTGCACATTCCCCCTCCTACACTCCATATAGGGTTCCCAACCTCCAGGCAGAGCCACAAACAACACCCACCCAGGGAAGACCATCTACAATTCACCACTATATGTACTCAAAACTGTACATTGCATTCATTGAAATACAAAGAAGGGTTAGTGGTCATAACCCGACAGAGTGTACAGACACTTATCTAACAGATTGCACATAACAATTACGCACAGTTTACAAAAAGAACATATCCAAAACCTACGGTAGGTTCCACTGTAATTCCACACATAGTGTCGATAGACCTCCTGTGCCTATGTTATTTTGGAAATCGGGTTCCGTCTTACCAGCCGCTGCTGAAGATCTTTGAAACGTCTTGATTTATACCTGGGAGAGGGGTCCGGCTGTTATTCTTTCCACAGTGGGGGTCTTCTGCTGCAGTTACTTTTTGTTTGGAGGTCTAGGGACACTATCTATGTATGGAATTACAGTGCAGCCTACGGTTGGTTTTGAAGATGTTCTTTTTGTAAACTGTGCTTAATTGTTACGAGCAACCTGTTGGATAAATGTTTATACACTCTACTGCAGGGGTGTCAAACATGCGGCCAGGGGGCTGGATGAGGCCCCCGGAGGGCTTCTATCAGGCCCGCAGTGGAACTGGCTGTCTTCTGCTTCTTCTTCCAGTTCTGTTGATGCTACGTCGTCGTAAGTTTGCAGCTTACAGATACACATCTGAACAGCACACTCAAGATTGCAACAGCACAGACATTTTGATGCAATAATTCAGAGCAAGAGGTGTCAGTTATCAGACACTGTTAAATAAACAGAATATTGCAAGAGTGCTAATGTTTTAAGCATGTTTTTATTTTAAGTAAAAAAAAAACCAACCCTTTGTGTTTGTGTCCTTTATAAAGTTTATATCTCCGCTACCTGGCATTACCTTTTTGTGACACATGTGGCCCGGCCCAAAAAGGTCTCATTTATGTCAGATCCGGCCCTCATAACAAATGAGTTCGACACCCCTGCTCTACTGGGTTAGGATGACCACTAACCCTTCTTTGTATTTCAATGAATGCAATATACAGTTTTGAGTACATATAGTTGTGAATTGTAGATGGTCTTCCCTGGGTGGGTGTTGTTTGTGGCTCTACTTGCACACTAAGGGTTCCCCGTTGTCTTTGGCAACCTCCAGGTAGAGCCTGAAGATCTCCAGGGATGACAACTGATTTCCGGACTATAAAGATCAGTTTCCCTGGAGGAAATGGCTACTTTGGAGGGTGGGCTCGATGGCATTAAGTCCCGCTGAGGCCCTTCCCCTTCCAAACCCCACCCTACCTGGGCTCAACCCCCAAATCTCCAGGTATTTTCCAACCAGGACTTGGTCAATCTTGACCCCAGACACGCACCCACCTTGTATAGGGGATGGCACATGGGCAGGTGTCGAAAGGTGGCCAAAGTGAAGACTTCTGCCATCAGGTGCGTGTAAAGCAAGTGGGTGAGGACCTCATGGATGTGGAAGGTGCTGTTCCGCACCCAGAATTTCGCCAGGGCCCAGTCCCACTCCGAGTCACTGGGTAAGAAGATGGGGCTGTCCGGTCCGGGTTGCTGAGTTAGCTGGAGGGAGAACAAGGGGAAATAACTGAGGCTCTTATTGGCTATGCTATGCTGCGTGTCCTGAAAACACCAGGAGACAGAAAATAGGCAATAATTCTGTCCTCGTTCCAGCACAATATTAAGGTAGACGTCCCCGACATGGTGCCCGTTGAGTGCCACGGTGACCACCAACACCTTTCCTGGCCCCCACTAGGTGTTTCTAGAAATGTGGGTGGGCCAGGTGTGGTTTTTGCTCAGCAAGGCTTCTGATTGGCCATCAGAGATTCAATTGACTATGCAGAACTTTAACAACAACAACAGCAACATTGCTTTGGCAGCAGCTGTCACCACAACACAAGAATCTTCGTGGTGTGACTGAAGATGAGCTGCGGCAGCCATTTTGTGACTGGCTTCACCTCCTGGAACGGCCATTTTGTCGCAGCCACTGTGTCAGGATTCCAAAGATGCCCACCAGCTCAGAGAGGTTGAGGACCCCAGGACTAAGGTCGGCTTTTCCTGTGCGTGACGTGGTCAGAGCTGACTTATGGTAACCCCATAAGGTTCTTAAGGCAAGAGACCAACCAAGGTGGTATGCCCTTGCCCGCCTCTCCATAGCAACCTGGGACTTCCTTGGTGGTCTCCCATCCAACTACTAACCAGGGCCAACCCTGCATATCTTCCGAGGCCTGACGAGAGTGAGCTAGCCCAGGCTGGGCCTAGTGAAACAATGTTTTTTTGTTGAAGTGTGCATTGACCTATGATTTCCACAGAGGTATCTTTCCAATGGATGGCCTCACACTAGGATTCAGGAAAGGGATTCTAACGGGAAGATGCCCCCTCCCAGATAGGAGGACCCTGTGGTCAAATGATCATAATCCAGACTAGTACAACGTGCCCCAAGCAAAAGATGAAGAACCATTGGGTTGGATCCATCCTGTCTTTTCGCTCAGTCCCACTCAGTTCCCAGTCTTACTTCACCTATGGGACTTTATGCTGTGAAGGCCCTGTTGTTGTTTTAAATTAAATTTAGGGAGGTCTCTGGGCAATTGATAAACAGATGCGATATCACAGTATACAATATACAGAAAGCAAGCAAGCACTGTACACATGACGCAGACCACAAGTGCTCAACAAGTCATGCAAAAAAGTAAATTTATATAACAGGAATAACAGAGGACCACATGTATCAGTAAAACCAAATTGCATCATATAATGTACAGGTCCATGATTAGTGCAAGTCCATTAATGGTACACAGACAAGGACGAAGACTCCGGATTGTGATCTTCGTTTCGATAGCTCTTCTTCAAGAAGTTCACACTACTTCATAAAGCACTCCTAATGTACAGAAGACTTTAAAATGGTGTATGTAGGAGGAATCCCTAGCACAGCACTCACAGTGTATAAAAGCCTTCAAACCAGTATTACAGGAAAAAACTCAATCCTATTATAATCATTCAAAGCCGGGCAGCCGATCGACAGTAGAACAAACTCTCCAATAGTCGGTATTGAATGATTGAAGAATAGCTATTGAAACGAAGATCACAATCCGGAGTCTTTGTCCTTGTCTGTGTACCATTTATGGACTTGCACTACTCACGGACCTGTACATTATATCATGTAATTTGGTTTTACAGATACATCTGGTCCTCTGTTATTCCTGTTATATAAATTTACTCTTTTTGCATGACTTGTTGAGCACTTGTGGCCTGCGTCATTTGTACAGTGCTTGCTTGCTTTCCACATTTGATAGAAACATCAAAACGATATAATAAAATACATAAACAGTATGAATACAGCAAGTCTAAAAGAACCAGACGGCGAAATTTCACAATTTCTTCTCATTCTGGACTGTGGCCACCTCATGGGTGGGGGGAAAGGAATGGAGCAGTCTGGAGAGAAGAGGTTGCTAGCCAGAGTGGGAAAGGGTGCCAGCAGAACCCTTTTTGGCGGCCAGAGAGAACCCCTCTTCTCCTTTTTCCCCAGCTGAAAAGCTGGTTCCAACCCAACAACTCCACAGTCTGTTTAGTGATGTTTTCTGGTATTGTGGGTGTGATTGTTGTGGCGTGTCTGTCCTTTGATTGAAATAAATAAATGAAATTTGACTTTCAGCATGTTTCTATTGTTTCATGCAAGCCTAACAGAAGTTAAAAAAAAAAGGTAAAAGAGTCCCCAAGATCCTGGGGTATGCATGGTTTCAGGAGAGTAGCCCTGCTGGTTTGTGCTAGAAGAGCTAGATTCAAACCCAACAGCATCTTAGAGACCAATTAGAGCCAAAGCTCCCTTCATCAGAAGCTAAGTAGGCTTGGCTCACCCTTTAAAAATAACTAGGCCAGCTGGGCCCGCCCTGAACTCCGCCCCCAAAAGATTTCCATATTCCTCTAATTCCTGGTAGCGAACTTATGCAAAGCCATGGCTCAGCCTACAGACAGCGCAGCAAAGTTGCACGTGGCATTCTTCAGGGTACTAGACGTCTGTTATATTGCCTCTGAGGTACTTTGCCAAAGAGCTTATGTGGTGTTCCATTTGCTGGAAAAACCTTAATGAAACCTTCACAGGCGTCATGGTGCAAAGAACGGAAACTGGCGAGAGGGCTCGATATAAGGAGGTCGATTCACCGGCCTGTGTTTCCACATGTCTGTTCCCGCATTGGGGAGAACAGTGGCCTTGATGCAACCTTAGCATGGCCGGCCAATGCATGACACCCTATGGGAGATGGAGCCAGGGACACGGGGGGCACTGTGATGTCACTTCTGGGGAAAACCTGAAGTGATGTCATGTCGCTCTAGGAATCAATGGAAACTCCGTGGTAAAAACCATCAGACTGGGAGACCTGGCAACCCTGAGCCAGGCTTGAACATCATTAATTCCGGGAAAAGGATTACCTGGATGGCGATGGGTACAAGTTCCTCCTGGTGATTCAGGTGCAGGAGGCAAAGGGGGGCTGCAATGTGCTGGCGGCTTCCGTTCAGCTCCGTGGCTGGGGTGCCTTCCAGAACCTCGCAGTCGATAAGGAACAGGTTGCCTTTCTGTTTGAGACACAAGGGAAGATGGCGTTTGGGTGGTGCAGAAGGGTGGGGAAAGAAAGAGTGGGGAAAGTTAGCTCTAAAGTGAAGAGCCGGATATAGAGAATTTGGCCACACCTTTGAGATTCATGGGTGGATTTGGCATTTTTAAAAAGCATTTCAGGTTTCAGTCCTTGGATTCCCAGCACAATGCTATGCAACTTTACTCGGGCACTGTCTAAGCAAAAACGGGCCTTTCTGCATTCAGTCTTTACTCCTGATTTTCCCAGAACTCAGTGCAGTATGCCTTTGATTTGAATCATTTCCTTTCCTTCTGCATATGTAATTATTCTTTGGCACATCATGCCAGAAATGCAAGTTTCGGCATACTCACAGAAGAAAGTGTGTTTTAAGCCCCGGTTGCTCTTATCCTTTGGAGAAGGAGTAGCCAGGACATTTCTCCCTTCCCTTTAATGCCCTGTGTTTGCTCTTCCTTTTCACAGAGCCCTGGCTGGTGGAAGGAATTCTTCCAGGAAAATTGAAATGACATTGAGCGGATGAGGCATTTCAGTGTTAACAGGGAATGTTCACTAACCTGGGGTAATATACAACTGTCAACACTTAGTATCAAATTAAAATGCAAACAATCAATCCATGCATCCGTTTTTTGTTTTGAGGGAAATGTTTGTGATCGAAGTCTGTTTGGCTTAGAAGTGCTTCTTGAAAAACTGGTTTTCCCCAGTAGCTCTCCCATCCTCCAAACCACTGCGGATTCTAAACAAATGTAAATGTTCAGCAATTGCCCATGAGGAAACGTGTTATCATGTAAATTGGCCAAAGCGACTGAAGAGAAAGAGGCTGAAACAGGGGAAACAATTCGCAGGAACAATTCTACTTTAAATAGTAGTATTGGTTTCAAAACGGAGCAGAACAAAGGCTCACAGCAAAAGCACTTTTAGGAAGTGTGGGGCAACAGTGTGCTGGAAGCGGTCTGAGGGCTGACTCCCTAAAATAAATGCAGAACCAAGAAGAAGCCGCGACACAAAGCAGTGGTGAAAGCAGGAGGGAATGCGGAATAGAAGACTTAATTGCGCTCAGAAACGGAGGAAAAAGACAGGTGCAGAAAGGGCCAACATCTCCTGGAGAAGCCCCACTGGAATGAATGGGACATGCTGAGGCTCCTGTAATTCCTAGGATTCGACCCATTGCGTTTACATTTTCACTGTGATTTCGTGAATCCATGTGTAAGCTGTCCTGAGAATTTCTTCCAGCCGATAAATATCCCAGATAAAACATTAATCACATTGGCATCCTGCCATTCCTCTGAGAAGCTGAGGACAGTATACACCCTTCCCTTCTTCTCAGTCACTTTCACAACAACCCTGTGAAGTAGGTTAGGCTGAGAAAGAGTGGCTGGTCCAAAGTCACCCAGGGAACTGCATGGCTAAATGGGGATCTGATCCTAGTTCTCTCAAACATAAGAGCACCAGGGGTCCATCTAGTCCAGCATCCCGTCTCACACAGTGGCCCACCGGTTCCTCTGGAGGTCCAATGACAGGGCACAGAGGCCCAGGCCTTTGTCTAATAAGAACATCAGAAGAGCCCTGCTGGATCAGACCAGTGAGGGTCCGTCTCGTCCAGCATCCTGTCTCACTCATTGACCATCCAGTTCCTCTGAAGGTTCGACAACAGGGCATAGGCCTTCATAAGAACATCAGAAGAGCCCTGCTGGATCAGACCAGTGGTCCATCTAGTCCAGCGTCTTGTCTCACATAGCAGCCACCCAGTTCCTGTGCTGGGCCAACAACAGGGCAGAGAGACTGAGGCCTTCATAAGAACATCAGAAGAGTCCTGCTGGATTAGACCAATAGTTCATCTAGTCCAGGGTCCCATCTTACACAGGAGCCACCCAGTTCCTCTGGAGGGTGAACAACAGGGCAGAGAGACCAAGGCCTTCTCCTGCTGTTGCCTCCCGGAGCTAGCATTCAGCAGTTGACTACCTCTGAACATGGAAGTTCCCTCTAGTCACCATGGCTAGTAGCCACTCATGGAGCTCTCCTTCATGAATCTGTCTAATCTCATTCTGACTGGCTTCAAATCCCTGCTTAGTTTACAGAGCTCACTGGATGACCTTGGGTCTGTCACTTTTCCCTCAGCCTACCCTACCTCACAGGGCTGTTGTGAGGAGGCAATGCAGAAGAGATTTGCATCTTTAAAATAACAAAGCAGAACAGTGGCCCACCATGCAGCTGGACTGCGCTTGCACGAGTGTGTCTCCTTACCTCCAGTTCTTTGTCGAGGGTTGTGTGCTTCTGTAAGGACTTTGCTACGATCTCCTGAGTGACAGGGAACTTGGCTGGAATCTCCGTGCACTTCCGGATGGATATTGGGTTGACTCCGTTGAGGTACTGGTAGCCAAAGAAAGCATCTTCATCCCAATGCTTGCGGACATATTCTGGGGACACAGAGATGTCCTTACAAGTTAACAGAGGTCCTTTCCACACTAGACCTTAAATAAATCCTGGTTAAACCCTGTCTCCGAACTTACATTCTACACGACACGCAAGTTCACCCCTGTAGTTATCTCCGAATATTTTTACATTCTACACTACACTCGAGTTGACCCCTGTAATTATCTCGGCTGCGAACGTGTGTGATTTAAAAGATTATATGTTGTCCTCCCTTACCCCTTGAATCATTGTTAGTCCCGTGTGTAATGGAGTCACTGTAAATCGCTCAGATGGAGCTGCGGTGGCTCAAGTGGTTAAGACACTGAACTGCAGGCTGTGGAAGGCCAGTAGTTCAGCAGTTCGAGACCCGAGTGCCGCATGACGGAGTGAGCTCCCGTCTCTAGTTCCAGCTCCTGCCAACCTAGCAGTTCGAAAGCAAGAAATTGCAAGTAGATAAATAGGGACCACTCCGGTGGGAAGGGAACAGCGTTCCATGCGCCTTGGTATTTAGTCATGCCGGCCACATGACCACGGAAACGTCTTCGGACAGCGCTGGCTCTTCAGCTTTGAAACGGGGATGAGCACCGCAACCCTAGAGTCGGATTCAACTGGCTTTTGAGCAAGGGAAACATTTACCTTTACCTTTTAAATTGCTCAGAGCCAGCAAGCTCTACAGGATTGAGCGATTAATAAATTGAAAGATTTATTATTTATTATCAGAGGTCATTTCGGGGGGGGATCGCACGGGATCGCAGTTCCCCCGACGGCAGCTGGTCAGCTCCGAGTCGGTGTATCCTCATTGCAAGGCCCCCTGGGCTGGGAGGGGGGTGCAAAGGGAAACCCACATGGGCAGACTGGAGAGCCAGTGGTGCAGCACTGGGCAGACACTCCCACATTGCTTGACTGCTGCAGACAAAGTTGTTCTACCATGCTGAAGCCACAATTGGAGTCCACTTCCCAAAGACGTCTCCTGTTCCCTCCCTTGCTCTAGTTGCTTGTGGGCTGCATAAGAGCCCTCCGGGCCTTATGTTTGACACCCCTGCACCAGTGTTCCCTCTAAGCTGAGTTAGTGTGAACTGGCTCACAGTTTTTTAGCCACCAGCTCGCAGATTTTGTCTCAGCTCAGGAAGGATGGCTCCAGAGCAAACTAATTTATGCAGCTGCCAAATCTCTTGCTCACAACTTTAATGCCAGTAGCTCACAAAGTAGAATTTTTGCTCACAAGACTCCACGGCTTAGAGGGAGTATTGCCCTGCACTAAACCCATTTCTGGTTCACTGATGACACCAAAGAAATACTCTGATTTAAGGAAATCCGTTAATCTCAGGATAGCCTGCCAGGGAGCCCAGAGAGGGAGAGAGCACAAATCGCGGCAGGAATAGAGAACTCTCTTCAAACAATGATGCACCACAGCTAGAGCTGCTTCCCTAACAATTGAGCAAAAGACACCTCCTTTTGCAGCTCAGGCCCACATTAACTAAGGGGAGCTGAAGAGAACATTAAGTCCTGCTGACATGAAGCCCTACTCAAGCCACCTCGAGCTCCCAGGGCTGAAGATCAAATCAGGGACAAGGCCGGCAAGACCCCGTTCTTCTTCCTCCTGTTCTCTCAAAGGAAATCTCTAGAGCCAAGTCTGGCTTTCAAACGCACGGGCTTGCTGAACACAAAGGACAAAGAAAGATCATGGAAAGAAATCAGTACTGCCTTCTGGTCAATCCATGTATGAATCACCAAGAATTTTGCCTCAGACCACCAGATAGACTTAGTATATTTATTACCAACCATATCTGTGATCATGAGTTCTCTTGTCATTTCTGCCCGAAGAAGAATTTTATGTCTCTCAATGGCTTGCATGCTGTAATGCCAAGACTGAATAGAGAGCCAAGCATTATTTATCGCATCCCT